GATAGGAAGAAAAATAACTACCTCATTTTGCAAAGCTGAGCAATAAGGCAGAAGTAAAGCTAAGCCTTCTGACCACAGGCTTTTCTGAAGATCTTTTATCAAGAACTTAAAAGTAGGGATGATGTTTATTGACCAAAATTAGCTGATTCTGTCTGCAGAATTTAATGCTAGAGGATTAGATCTAATACAATCTAATACTAGAAAGAGGTAATTTTAGTAGTGCTAGTTCCTCTCTTCAGTCTAAAGTATGTTTTTAGTCTGAAATAAAAATATTATCCTTTGAGCTGAATCTGCCCAGGTCAATTCCTAAAGGGCATGTCAAATACTGTAATCTTTTTGTGTGTGGGTGTGGGTGTGGGTGTACAATAAGCACATAAGAACAACATTCTCATGAAAATACTCTGAAGAGCTAATTATTGTTTTCCAGCACAACTCAAAGCCACCTTCTGTTTTTGTTTTTGTTTTTTTTTAATCCCAATTTAGCTTGAACTTGAATTTCAAACAGGAAGTCTGTCTTTGACACTGGAAAATCTCAAGCAAACACACTGAAATAATATATATTGTAAAATGTGTTAGTTTAAGTAATCTTTCCAATCCATGCACAGAAGAGACTTCTCAGAGAAAGGATGGAATTATGTGTTGCAACTCATACCACAGATCAGCTATTTAGTTAAATTTCCAGGAAAGTAACCCACATGCTCCAAGTGAAAGTGGGTCCTGGAGCATGCACAACTTGGAAATGATATTCCAGGCTGGAGCAAAGGGAATTACATGAGCAACTCAGCCAAGCAGGCAATTTCCAGTGCCAACAACACTGGAGATTAAAAAGCAGAGACATTTTTGGAGTCATTATTTGATGAGTGCACTAAGGCAGGACACGTGATTTTGTGTTTGTCCTGCAATACATTTGATTTATGTGCAGGTAGGGAATGAATAACAAAAACTAAAATCATGAAAAAGCTGAGGAGAAAGAGAAGCTGCTGTGCATAGTGAGCCTGATATATCTTATGATGTCATCTAGGAGAGATGTTCCAGCCCTCTGATCATTTTCTTGACCCTCCTCTGGACCAGTTTTAACAGGTCAATGCATTTAGAAACAATTCCCCCAAATCCTTTTTGGCTGTTCAAAGTGTTATCTGTTAAAATCTCCTGGGCATGTTGGAAAATCAGCATATGTTCAAAGTCATCCTTGTAATGTCATTAGCACGTTTCCCTGGCTTCGTGGCCTTCTGTTCAGTCCTACCATAATACAGATTTTGTACTTCATTTTTTCCTGATTCTCCAAAACTGTACCTTCAAATTCAAAAATACAGTAAGAGAACTAACTAGATTAAAAAAAAAAAAAAAGAAAAGGAAAATATGAAGTATGAAAAGAGGAGAAAGGTCAATTAAGAAAAAAAAAAGGGAGGGAAATGACCAGGTTGGCAACGTTCATAGGCTTTGTAAACTGACTATTCGGCCCCTCTTCCCTTAATTTTCTAAATTACCCTAAAAAAGTTTAGCAAAATAGAAATCTCACTTCATGATATTGCATGACTGGGCAATAAGAGGACAGATGAGACTGAACATAAATTTATGCAGAGTAATTCAAGTGCTGGAAAAAACACATCAACTGTAGATACAGTGATGGGTTCTGAGCAAGGTATTACCATACAGGAAAGAGTTGATAGAATTATATTAGGAAATTTTATGACAATGCCATCTCATTGTTCAGTCACACAGTTAGAAATGAAAACAGAATAATCCACAACACCAGAAAGGAAAAGAGAACTAGGAAATCTCATTTGCTGGGGAATAAATCTGTGGTGTTCTCAGATCACGTGCAGGTCTGGTCTCATCATTTCTAAAAGGATACAAAGAGGTACAAAGAGTGACACAGGTGATCAAAGGCATTTAAGGACTTCTGAACAGCCTTCAGCCTTAAAAATATCTTAAGGGCAGATATGGGACGAGCCTATAAATTCTTAAGCAGAACAAAGATGAAAATCACTTCCCTCTTCCAGTATTAGGAAACACCAAATGAAATGAGCAGGTGACAGGTTCAAAATAAGCACAGTCCACCCCACCATCCCTGTCACATTGTGGAACTCTGTGTCTGCACTCAAAATTTGCACAGATCCAAAAGGCAATTTAAGAACTAAGAAATTAAAACCCTATGTATTTAATACAAAGTAATGCTGTGGCTGCAGGAGCCCTTGGAGTGCCTGCCAGAGAAAGCTGAGTAAATAAGCATATCCAGTTATCACCAGCATTTCATCTCTTCCACAGAGTTAAACTTGACCCTGGTAAAACCTCAAGTCCCTCCCTGAGAAGGGGAGAGGGGGTTTAGCAGAAACAAAACATGAGAGGAAACAACTAATTACCAAAAAGAATGAATGGAAACGAAAACAAGCAGAGGGATTTAAGGGTCAGAAGAGCAAAAAATATGAAAGTGGGTGAGTGAAGGGCAGACAAAGCACCAGGACCATGAGCTGTGTCATCTGAGATGGTCCAGGCCTTCCTGTGTGCCCACATAGAGTCAGAAAAAAGGAGAGAACATATTTCAGGGGATGACTCAGCAAGCCAACGTGCCTCTATTAGCACAACACCTGAGCATGTGCTTGGTGTAATCATAAGGTCCATGGAAGTTAATGATGTTAATGTAAGATAAATTTTCCATCAGACAGGCACAGGAAATTTTATGTAAAGCAGAAAGATAAAATCTGAACTCGCTGAAGGGCAAGTTGATCTGAAAAGATGAAACAGAGATAGACCAGAGGGGCACAGACCTAATAGGGCATGACAGAACAGAAAATTAAGAGGTAAGAATCAATGCTACACACAAAAACATGGAGCAAAAGCAGGAGCAGGGAATGTATCTCAGGCTTGAGAGGGAGATGAGATGAAGGGAAGCTGGACCATACAAATATTCTGGTGTTTATCCCAAGTTGTAATCTAATGACAGCAGAAGACAGAGAACAAAATAAGTGGAAAGGGAGCCCTGTGCCATGGACATGAAAGAATGGACAGGGAAGTCTGGCAGCAGCAGCAAGAACGACAGTGGAGGTCAAAGTCAATGCCAGATCTGTCTCTTATTTTCTCTAGAAACTAGTAAAATATTAAGACAAGGAGGAAGGAGAAGGCTGGGTAGGTTGAGGGAGCTGCAAAATAGTGGAAGGTACTGGAAGCAGCCCTCTAGAAAAACCTAAACTGTTGGGGACCAGTCCCTTTCACAACAAAACGGACAACCAGCAAAAACTTCTAAAACTCCTTCTCAAAAGGAACACTTTTAACCATTCTGCTGTTTACTATAGATTTTGTAAACACTCAAGATATTCAAGAGTTGATAAACTGTCCATTTAAAATGAACAAAAATTTATTAAAAATTAAATTAGATTCCCTTTTTTCTTTTTTCTTTTTTTTAAATTGCCAAGAAGCTAAAAAAATCTTTAACTTGCTACATTTCCATATCTCAAATGCTCTTGCAAATATTTAGCTCAAACGACCAAGATCACCTTTTCCCAAACTGCAGGCTACCAGGAAATTGGAAGCATGACTGAAAAGTCAGAAAATTAAGCCCTTTTTTTGGGGAATGAAAATGATGAAGAGACCATGCACAGAAACTGTGTGTAGCCCCCATCCTTGCCAGCAATATCCCCAAGCACTTCTCTTCCCACACCAGCAGATGAATAAAATGGATATTATTTAGAAGGATAACCATATGGTTTGTATAACTTGTACATGCTATTTTCAGGACATTATTATAAGACATGGTACAGACCTACACAACAGGGTCAAAACTTGCTTTCTGTTTTATAACCACCCTCCTCCTTTTGGGTGCAGAGACAAGAGGTGATGGCACTATATCAATATATCACTTCCACACACTGTTCCTACCTTAATACTCGCAGAATAATGCAATTATTCCGTGTGGGACACATTATTGGGTTGCTGAGCTCAAATAAATATTTATCAACCCTGCTGATAATTATTTGCTAGTAAATATTTGTTTAAATTGTGAAGTCCTGACTTTTCTTTTTTTTTTTTTTTTTTTTTTTATATATTCCATTTCAGCCTACATGCATCTGTCTGCTTTGTGCCTTCCCAGGGCAGAATGTTGTAATATGTACCAAAAAAAAAAAAAAAGAGAGACAGGGAAAAAAATGCAAATACATCCACAGAAAACTTGAAATCTGTTCCCCTTAAACTGTGTCCTTTCTCTCTCCAACTCCTTCATTCCCTCTCACCCTTTTTTTTTGTTAATGAAGTATCAGAAGCCACTTTTATTCTAAATTAAGGTACCCGCAGTGCTGCAGGAACAGCACCGAGCAGGGTTTTTATCTGGATACAGTGCCTGCTTTCCAATTTCCACTGTCATTTTTTTTTTTAAAGCATACACAAAACATTGCAGAAGCACATGTAAATCACCACTCTCTTGCCCAATGGAACAGAATTTCAGCTCCCAATGCCAAGGCTTGCCTACAGAAGGCATCTACATCTGGTCTGCTACATCCAAGGCAGCAACCACGGGCACACGGTTTGCTTTGTTTGGAATTCATCACTGTGGTGCAGCTGAGCCTCAGATTAAAAAAAAAAAACAGCACAACTATGAGCCTCCAGGGTTAAACAGACAAATGTTTTCAGTCACAACAACTTTTTTTTTTTTTTGGGGGGGGGATGGGGGAGAAGGAAAGCCATAACAATGTATGGAAGAGGTTTTATGTAAATCATTAAAGGCCTACTGACTTAAATTGTTGCTAACACCCAGAAGTTGCTTAATGTACACTTGGGAGTGTGAAGGCAGAACAGATGAATAGTCTCACAAATCCTATTTGCTCCGTTGGAAAAATGCAAAAATATTTGTGAAAAACAACGATTCCAGCTCGTTGCCATTCCAACTTAAAAGTCAAATTAATATTCATGATTTCTGAGTGCATGGTGGTTTTTACTGGGAGGCAGAAGGGGCAGATACAATCAGTAAACAAATGTGCTTTCAGATGCTCACAGAATGCAGTACCTACCTAGCCACTCGTTGAATTTTTTTACTTCACTAGGAAGTCCCAGCTCAGTAAAATCACCAGCATGTATTAACACATCTCCATATGGCATTTGGATGGGATCAGTTCTTGAGTGAGTATCAGAAATACAGACAAATCGTGTATATCCTGGAGGTTTGGGAGCGTCGTGGGGCACCGGATCAACCCTGCAGGAAATGCATCATAACAAGGTTAGGAAGTATTTACGTACTTTGTAGTGTCTGCTTTGCTATTCCAACGCTGTTTTTCCTACCTTTACAAAAGATTACACAGACCTCTGAATCTGCCTGATGGAAGGATTTATTAAAACAAACCTAACACTAACGGGAAGTGTAAAAATTCTTGATGTTTACAGCACAGCATTTTCAGTGTTTTTTGGTAGATAGATTAACTTCAAGAGATTAAGGAGAAGAGATTGGACTATGGCAGTAACTCTGACACAAATACTTACAAATAAATCAAAGGCATTGCCAGTTTCAAAGGAATAGCACTATCCCATTTCATTGTTTAAACATGATTACACGGTACACAGGGAAGAGATTTGTTTGAGATACATAAATACATTTAAATGTGTTTTTTCTAATTAGAACTTTTTTTTTTCCCCCCCTGCAAGTTACATAATTCCAGCAAATTTAATTAACACATTTTGGAGATATGTTTGAGTGTGTTAATGCAAAACAACACGAGAACTCTCCCAACAGCTGTAAATGTACATTAAAGCCTCACTATTGTCAGGACAAATGTGGTGACTTTCTGGGCTTAATTATACTAAATGAAATCAAATGCTGTGAGGGGTGAGGCTGCATTGTTCAGAGCCCAAAATCAAGATTCAAAACTGAGGGAACGAAAAGATCTGACCCAGTTTGATGAGACTTACTCATGATTTAGGAGAGGAAAGCAGAGACACCTTATTTTCAAATCAATCTTTTTAACCTCAATCCATATTTTGTTGGACTACATAGAAGCAAATGTATCCATATACAGCTATACCGTATCTGCTATTCCAGTTAGGGAACTCTGGTGGAATAAAATCCAAAAGCCAGAGGTGCAAGAGTTATATTTGTGCCACTAGAAACCAGAGAGATATACAGAGTTGTTGTGAACTATTTTACTTTTGCAACATTTATTTTGAAAGGACAAATAAAATTAGTTTTGTTCACTGTTGCTGTATATAATACACATTTCTATCCCTTGCTGGTTGTGCTTCAATTTAGGAGCTTACTTTTACATAAACAAACTCAGAAAAAAAAATAAGATATTTTTGCTATTAATAGTACTACATCTGTTCCTAAGTAAATTTTTAAAAAGTATTTTATTTCTTAAAAGTCACAAGATAATAATCTTTAATCACTCCATCTTTTCCCTATGTCAAAGAATTCTGTGAAATTTAGAGGCGTTTTTGACAACCACACGGGATTGGTGAGAGAGTGAGGAATAAATCTAAAACATTCAAATCCTGTTAAATACAAAAAAAAAAAAAGCTCTTAGCATCTTCTACGCTGTAACTACAAACCTAGAGCATGAACAAATTATTTTGCACCCATACCTTTATAGGAAGAAGGAATGCTGGGGTTTTTTTACAGCAATACTGGAGAAACAGCCTTTTAGTGCCAGCACCTTGTAGTTGTCTTTCTGAAGTTCCAGTTTTTGAGCAGAAAAGTAATGAAACTGAGGTGAGGAGCAAAACCAGCTGGGATCAAATCCTACCTATTGAATACCCAGATATGTAAGCAAGGACCTAGTGGGAACTGCAAAACTTGGCTGACAGAGAGTGTTTGGAATGTTTGGACCCTGAAAACACTTGTTGTAGGGTTGAGGGAGTGTGTGTGCTGCAAGAGGACCACAGAGGCCAGGTGAAGAAAAAGAGTTTGATGGTAAAAATGCCTCTGTTTTGGAGAAGAACAGAAGAACAGAGCTGCCACAAGGGGTGGAAGGGGGAGGTAAGAGGGGTGCAAAGGAATACGGGTGGTGAATGGTGGGGTTTAGACTGGGGAGGCTTTGCCATAAGGTGTGAGCTGTGTGAAGGGTAATACGTTCACTTCACACAATTCTGCCACAAAATGAACTGGGTAAAACCCACAGAATCACAGGATGTGCTGAGCTGGAAAGGACCCACAAGAATCACCAAGTCCCTGCACAGGACCATCTCCAAGAGTCAAAGGATGAGGAGCTGACCCTGCCTATCTTTGCAGCTGTTCAAGCTGAAAGGATTAAACACCAGCTCAGCAAACACAAATTATTGCTCTCCCTGTCCAAGACCTCCCAAAGTGAGTTACAGGTTGCATTAGTAAGCCAGCTCTAAATTATGCATATTACCCTGGCACGACATAAGGGTTGGTCTGGTCTAACACGTGGACTGGTCTAAAATATTACTGTTTGACCTTTCATGGCAGAGCAGCCTTCAAAGCAGGTACTGCTTCTCCTTCAGAATCCTTTCAGAGCTCAGCCCAGCAGTAAGTTGGGTGTTAGGGAGTATCAGGCACCTCACATGTGAAGCTGAATGTTAAAAACAACAGGCATCCCATGGAAATCCCATGCAGCACATAATGCACGTGCTTTTTTCCTATAGTTTGGATGGGCATGGGGAAGATGTGGACGGGAGAGGTTACCTGCAACTTTTAAATTCTGTGCAATAGGCCAGAGAATTTTCATGGGAAAACAACATCAATGCAAAAAAAAAAAAAAAAAGGTAAATAAATGAGATGCAGGTTTTTCATCTTGAAGTGATATGCACACACTGAGACCGTATATAGGTAAAAACATATGTCAAGTTTCACAAACACATCTAAGTTGTATTACTGGAAATAATTTCTGAAGGCTCAATCCCCATATTCTCGTGTAACATGTTCCCACAGCAGCTGTCACACCAACACCCAATGCACAGCTTGCAGCGTGAGCAGAGGAATACAGATCTGCTGATTATTTTTTGTGCAAATGCTTTTGTTTTTTCTTTAAATCAGCACGAAAACTTGCGAGAGAAATTGAAAAGCTGAGCTGAAAAATCTCAGAGCAAAAAAAGCATTTCCAGAGGTTGGTTTGTACACCGGATTTCAGTGGTTACACAAAGGGGCAAGACAAGGACTTTCCAGAAATGACTGATGGGCTTGAAAACACTGGCAGAATTTACCACCCTTCTCATCAGTGGCAACCCAGCCATCTCATAAGCACAGGGATGCCAGATTGTGACAGGTCTAGAAAAGTCCTGAAGGAGCTAACACGTGAAAGGAGAAATGTCAAACTTCACAGAGGACCAAGGAAGATCTGCAGGACTGAATGCAGAAGAAAAGGAGGACCCCCGTGGTTAAAACAGTTTACTGTGGGCTCAGATGTTAACAGGTCTGTGTGAAATCTCTTTGTGGTTGCCTACAACATCACTAATGTAGGTGTTTGGAACTATGCACAAAGCCTTCACCTCCCTGAAGTTAAGGACAAAACCTGAGTTCACGGAAACAGGGCTTTCACCCACGACAATCATGGGAATAAAAGGTGCTTTTGTTACCCTTTTTATGTCTCCTTCTCCCTTCTTTGTTACTATTCTATTCATTGGTAGGAGGCAAAGGCAATCCTGCTGGTATTCAAGAAACATTATTTACAATTTCTGTATGAGGAGGAAGAGTAGGTCAGATTGTGGTACATGTTCCAATTGATTTGGCCTGTTTTCCTATTTGCACAAGCTTCTCCAATAGTATTAATCATTCACGAGAGATTGCTAAACTCTTCTGAGGAACCATTTTCTAAGGACAGCTTATTTTCAACTATTTGCTCAGGTGCTGAATTTCTATCATGTAGTTGATTGTCCAAGCCCTCCAGTACCATAATTTCTTAGTGGTTAGAAGTTTAAACAGCATATTGTTGAGTACCAAGTGGATACAAATAAATAACTTGCTTACAGCCCAGTAAAAAACATTTGGCTTTTAAGACCAGGAAACAAATTTCTGAGAGCCCAGGAGCTGTCTGACTATTCACAGAAAACAGCTAAGCCTCATCAAATCAACCTGCATCTGGCATTTCCATTTGTAAAAGTATTTCTGAACCTACATTTGTTTGTTTGTACTTTTGCTACCATTTGCCAGCTCTATAAACTAAAGATGTTTGTATGTAGCTGTAAATATAACTAACCAGTGCTAACATTCAACCCACTTTACTGTTTGCATTTCAGTGGGATCTAAAAAATCCCATCACAGACCATAATACACTGCCCCCAAAAACTGAGTGTTTGCTCACCATCCTGATACACACGTTAGTCTTCAGATTCTTTTTACATAATCTAATTTATGCCAAATAACGTTCGTAAGCATTCACTAAAGTGACACATAGCATTCAGTGCTTAGTTTTTTAGCTGCAGAAATCATAACCTGTTTTGTAAATTATTAAATCATATTAAACACCAAAAATGTGAACAAGATGATTATTTGTTCAGTCTTCCTAAAGGAAAGGAGTTCCCTTTAAAAACCGAAAAAACAGCCTTCTGATCTAAAGATAAGGCTGCTTCTCTCTTTAATAAACACAATAAAATGGTGCAGACATTTTTATTCCCTATAAAAATATTTTACAGTAGAATTTTATACTTAATTTATTTGTAATAGCTTTTACTGTTTTGCTCTTCCTTCTGGCTCTAAACTTTATGGCAGGTTTCATTTTGTAATTATAATTCTCCACTTTACGTTAGAAGTAAATCATCTAGAGCAGTTAATTTCACTGATGTTGTCATTATATAAGAAGTCAGAAACAAACACAGTATTTTAATCACTCTTTAAGCACTTGGCATTTTCGGCACATCGGAATGAGAGTAAGTTGTCGGATGGGTGCCCACACTATTTTATTTATTGAGATGATTTTTCCCTTGTATGTAGCTGTAATATAACCAACCAAACAGTATGTGTTGGACAGACAGGGGCTGGGGCATTTCCAACAGCTCTGTGCATCAATATGCAACTGCACAGAGCAAACAAACATTATTAAGATCGCAGAAAGTATCACCCTTGTAGCATCTCGTGTTTTATTGCCACTGCTCACCGTTCATTTCTCTTTTTAATACTAGTGGAGCAATCTTTCTCCCCTCCTTTAACAAAGTGCCTTGCAAATGGGCCGGTTTTGTATCGTTACAGTAATTATTGTTAGAAAGGCAGCAGTTCCTCCAATTCCTCCTGATCGGTCCAACAGGGCAACAACGCCCCGCCCCGGGAGGCCGGGCTGGAGCAGGGACAGAACTGTAATACTCACATCTGCACGTGTGGGGGCTGGAAACGTCCCTGGTTGATGTTGTAGAAGGTGAAAGCCTGCGTGGGGTTGGAGCTGTACTCGTCCACCTCGATGATGAGCCTGCTGTGCTGGTGCCTGCGGGCTGCCATGATGTGCGACTGGGCGAAGGCCATGCTTGCAGCGCGGGGCTCGGCCTCCTCAGGGGATCATGTCTGCTATCTCCCTACGTCCATGGGAGAGCACCAGGACATCTCACCTCAACAGCACAGCCCCCTCGGAAACACCTGAAAGCAGACGGGAGAGATGGAGAGTAACTGCTGGGCTGCCTGGGATTCGCTCTGTTTAACACGACGAAGGTGAAGGGGAGACACGGAAGGACAAAGACTCCTCCAAGGACTCATCACAGACCTTTCCAACCCAGCAACTGGAGGAACATGCTTTAGTTGGGGAGCATGGACTGAAAGTAAACTTGCTAAAGAACTCGCTCAAATACTTCAGACATTTAATACAAACCTAAAAGACAAGACAGGCATTCAGAAAGGCGCATCGAGTGTTTCTCCAACACGACCACTGACTTCCTTATTTATTGCACTGATGAATGTTTGTTCCCCATCCTCCCTCAAAAAAAACCCACAGAACCTGAAAGTGACTGCACACAACAAAAGTGCAAGTTAATTAAACAAGAACCAGTTCAACCCTGATATTAGCTCAGTGCTGATGTTGCCAAGGTGTGGGTTCGATCCCTGGGGGGGACATTCACTGAAGAGCTGGACTTTAAATCCCTTCCAACTCAGAATATCCTGTGATTTTGTGATTCTGTGAACCAAATCTTCCCAAAGTCTGCGACACTTATTGCAGGGAATCATTGCAAGTGGTTGTTCTTTACACCAAAAAAACAGAATAAATGGCTTTCTCTGCACTTGCTCCTGGTTTTACAGTGTCACTGAGGGAACTCCTGGCACAAGTATGAAAGCCTCCCCCCTTCAAACACTTTTCAGTCAGCACTAGCCCAGCGTTCTGGGTGCACTGGAAAACAAAGTGATTCCAAGGCTAACACACAGTTAAATGTTACTAAATATTAAAAATGTAAAATCCATACAGGTTTTATGTTTGGGAATAAATTTTTCCCTGAGGGTTATGCGAGTCTAGAACAGCAGCACTGAAAATGGGTAGAGAAAGAGCCAAGTGAAACCAACTGGAATGCAAAGAGTATCCCCTAGAAACAGCAGAAAGTAATTTGAATGTGAATTTTACTTTTATTTCCCAGCTTTAATAAAAAATGGATTATAAGCTATAAAGGTGGGTATTTTTATAGTATAATTTTACATCCTTTTTAAAAGTTGTCTGACTTAAATATTTGCTTTCATGCAAGCAAGGGCTCTTTTCTTCTAGGGAATACAAGCAATCTGCTTCGGAAGATGTATTTCATAAAAAGCCACGCTAGAATGCAGCAATTCACTTAATCTGTGCAGTTTCTGGAAAGCAGGACTGGAAGTATTTTCTGTGACCTTGCTGATGTGCCTCACTTCCATTCTGAGGGGACCACTGCCAAGAGTGATGGATGAGGGAGGCCTTCATAGTCACTCGAAGTTTTAAAGCTATTTACAGGTACTTAGGTCCAATTCAGTTTTTAGTGGCAGTCAAGCACCTAAACATCTTTATAAAACTGGGCTTCGGTCCTCTGCTTAGCTACTATAGAGGCTGAGTGCTCCAAGAAGTGGTGGTGTGTTTTTGTTTGGGGAAATCTTGTTCCCGGGGAGCTGAAATGAGAGATTCCGCTTGGTTTTGTTACCGGCTGAATGGCTGTAAAATGATGACAACTTGCTGTCACTAACAAGCCGCAGGAAAACAGCCTGAGAATAAAGGAGCAGATTCCTTCATGCCCTCCCCTAGAATCGAGGGGTAAGGAAACGCTGGAATAACAACGGGGAAGATTTGGGATTTCAAACACAAGAAGCACCACAAAGGAATGTGCCAGAGAAGGGGGAGGGAAGGGAGGCACAATCCTGGTAAGAATACTCAAGTACAAATTGCTGCATTTAGGAAATAAGAAATTATGACAGCAGATGTGAAGAACCCTCCCCAAGGAGCTTCCTGTATTAAATGATGCACTCGCAAAGAAGTTTGGATAGGCAAGGTCAGAGATTTTAGGGGGGGCAAACTGTTCTAAGTGAACCTACTTCTGGTTTGAAGGAAACTATCAGAAACTGGTGACCTCTAGAAATATTCTCCAGTAAGATAAATAATTTATGATTCCACAGCTCTACATAAGGGGTTTGAACTACCTGCAAAACAGAGCCTTTCTTTTATAATTCAGGGATTATGCCCACTTTACACACGACTGAACTGTGGTTACAAAGGTCCTGAGGGACCTGGGATCTCCCTTTGGCCTTAGGAAGTTCTCAGGAGCTCACAGCAGCTGAGAAAGGAGCTGAACAGAAGTTCAGCCTATATACATGAAAGAAATGGGAAGACAACATATTCCACCTGAGGTAAGAAAAAAAGGGGGGAAAGGGAGAAAAAAAGGTATGTGATAGAACTGGTAAGCCTTCTACTTGATGACAGTCACCCAACCCCAGACATATAAAAAGCTTAAAGACTGGGGAAAGGAGGGGAAGGGGAAGGAGAAGGGGAAGGGGAAGGGGAAGGGGAAGGGGAAGGGAAGGGAAGGGAAGGGGATAGATCCTGCAATAAAAATAAGTAGCAATCACACAAATAGCCTGTGCTAAGCAGAAATCAGATATGTGACACACAGACTCAGTAAGCAGAACTCAGTAGCTTAATTCAAGCTCATTTCAGAAACACACACAGATGTCTTTGAACCTTACCTTTCAGTCTATGGTTTTCCTCCTGCATAAGTGCTTGGCTGACTACTGACACTCTTGGTGTGACAGAACAAGCTGTCTCTTTGCAGCTTGACTGATAACCAGACTGACACCCATTACTCCCCTCTTTCTGCTTCCATTTCCAGTAGTCCCCCAAACCGGAACTTTTCCTTTCCTTTAATATTCTGAAATTTATTCCTTTCCCAAAACAGGGTATAAAATGCAGCAGGGAAATAATTATCTACTTCTACAGCATGCAAGTTTTAAAATTATATGCCCAGCATTACCAACACAGAGAGCTAAGACTCAAATCCCCACAGCAACAACATGCTAACCATCCTCTTCCCCCAGACTTATGGAGCTGCGGGATGTCTGCCAGGGAAAAACAGAGGAATGTAAAAAGGACTGCAAGAACATGAATACTAAAATAAATATCACAAACCTGGCTGTTAGAATCACAGACTGAGAAAAAGCTATTAAATCAGCTAAGCCATCTTCTTACTGATGGCAGGAATGTTCTCCATACATTATTTTTCTGCTGCTTTCTCCAGCACGTGCTCAGAGGGGCCCCAAAGCCCACTGTGTACAGTGGACACTGCTCCACAGCCTTCAGGGGGCTTCACGTCAGGCCAGAAAAATATGTGCATTGAAACACCTCTCCTGGAGAATTACTGGACTAGGAAGGTGCTTGAACCCACACATATTTAATTCCTTTGATGAGGTCCTCCAGTAAATCCTTGCAGTAAGATTTTTTTCTACTTTTTCAGCCTGAAATTTCTGCTATTGTATTTCACACTGTTCTTGTATAGCTAGCATAAATATTTCCCCCTCTTACATGAATTTTCCAGCCTTTTTATGCATCCTATTTATCTTTTTTTGCTTTGTGCATTTCAAGACAATGTTTTATTTTAATCTCACTCCTCCACTCACAGATTTTGCTTTATTTTAGGTTCTTCCCTCAGTTCAGTCCCATGTCCACTGACTCTCACTATATCTCATTCCATTGTCCCCACTGTTCTCTTCATCATCTACCCTTTGTCTCAAGCCTAAAAACACCACTGAGGCTTCTTGAAAACAATTCCAGCAACACACAGGATGAATCTAGACTTGAAAACAACATTGCTCAGGCAGATGTCGCTGAAATAATAATTAGAAACCAAGATAAAATATTGATGACGATCATTATAACAATAAAAAAAAAAGTCATAAGTTAAGAGAGAAAACTATAAAGGCACTTTGGTACATTACAAAACATCTGGAGGTCAAGAAGAACTGTAGTACATCCCAGCAAGAGCTGAAGAGGGGCACTTGCCAGATTTTGCACTAACAGTGAGACAGCACAAAGAAAGAAGACAACTCTGGGACTCTCAGCAGTACCAAGATCAGTGGCAAAGTGGTAACTCCAGAAACAGTGTTAGTTTTGCTCACACAGTCTGACAAGCTGGGGTTTGGGGACGCAATGAAGAAGCAAAATGTAGTATCAAAAAAAAGTGGATAAAAAGGTATTTTCATGCAGCAATAAAACATCAAAGCCATGTTTTTTGTTGGTTTTTTTTTTTTTCAGGGAAAGCAACTAAGACAAGAGCAGTAAAATACCTTAAAGAGGAGCCTGAGAGTTTCTGATGGACCACATGCTTCTTGTGCAAATCACTGTTAACCAGAAACCCTTCCAAGAGCTTTAACAATGGTTCAGATACTCCCTATACTACAGTGCTCTTCATAAACTGTCAGATCATCCTTTACACCAGGAAACAGAGCCTTTATTTAAACCCAAAAAAATGCACTACAGAGTATTCTGCAGCAATGGTCTTAATTGTCATAGTAACATTTCTATAACCACCAGTGATTGGCTTCAGCATCACAAATTACTATTTTTGTTTTAACCCCCAGAAGACTGACCATGAGTTAAGTGAACCTGCTGAAAATAGTAAAGCAATCACTAGTAAAGCAATCACTCACTATGAGAAATAGGCTGAAAATACTAAGGGTTTTTGCTGTCTAAAATACCCATTTTAGATACCTCAGATAGAGGCCAATCAATGGAATTAGTCTGCTATCTTCAGTTCTGCCACTGGGAAATGAATGCTGAAATAATCCTAAAAAGGCATTATTCTCTGGGAAAGGATGAGCCAGGCAAATCACTCTGCAGATGAAAGCCTTTCCAAAGGGATAGATACACTCTCCTCTCCCTCCTCTTCATTTTCTGAAACAGAAAACAGGTCCTGGGAAACCAAAACCACTGAGTCTCCCCTTGGCAGACTGGTCTGCTCACTTGACAAGTGAGGACTTTAAAGTGAGGGCAGCACAATCAAATGTCATCGAGACTCTTGTGGATTTTAAGTTTGATCATGTACACTTCTCCTGATGGAATCATTAGGCTTTCTAAATAAACATGGCTTCTTGTGGATAGAAACATTCCCCCTTGCATTTAAAAAAATAAACAAATAAAACTAAGACGTGTTGACGTGAAACGTGCACTTCTAAGCCCTTTTCCCAAAGCAAACACTTTAGGCACCTGCAATTTGTGTCGATGAGAACTAAACAACAGCATTAAAAAATGAACAGGTTCCTCCTGGATATCCGAATTACAACCTCACAACCTCTGGTGCCTTTTAAGGTCTGAAGTTGTGTCAGGGGAGCTTTAGGTTGGATCTCAGGAAAAGGTTTTTCCCCCAGAGGCTGGTTGGGCACTGACCAGGCTCCCCAGGGCAGTGGGCACAGCACCAGAGCTCTAAGAGCTGCCAGAGCTCCAGGAGGGTTTGGCTGATCCTCTGGGGCACAGGGGGGGACTCTTGGGGATGGGCAGGGCTAAGGGTTGGACTGGATGATCCTTGTGGGTCCCTTCCAACTCAGGATATTCTGTGGTTCTGTGTTTGCCACCCTAAAAAACCTCACAGAGTCCTTCACGATGAACCTGCAAATCCTGCTGGAACTCTGACCCTCCTTCAGCTACAGAAGCAACGTGGCATTTGGGGGCACTGCTTTTTCTACATGCCAGTGAAAGGGGCATGAAGCGTGCCAGGGTGAGAGCCTTGGGGCCTTCCCTCCATCCCAGCCCCAGGCAGAGGGGCTGGGACCCTTCCCTGGCCCTCCTGGGTGCCTCCAGACTCTGCTGCCCTGACTCTGTATCCACACAGGCTGAGACATCCCTGAGTTCAGGCAGCAAATAAAATGTACAGATGAGGGTGAGTTTCATTTGCTGGTTGCCAAAAAATTGAATCCATTCTGTGAGAACCATGAGAGGGCAACATGCACTGTGTCCCCCTTCGCAGGGCACGGTGTGTCAGAATACTGCTGTGTAAGTCTGGAGAGTTGTCTTAAGGTCAAAAATTGGAATACAACCTTTAAAAATGCCCCTTTACCAGGGCTCTCATCTTGAGCACATAAGGCCCACTATGGTATTTTCAAAAACCTTTGCCTATGGTGTTTCTTTAATTGAAAGAGATCTGAAGCATCCTGGTTTTCTGTCTCTGCTCTGTTCAATGGCTTCTGCTGAACCAAGTTAGACCAAGGCCATTGTTTATTAAGAGAACTCTTTGGATTGCCTCTATAAAAAAAAGTCTGAGATGGTTTTCTGAGCCAGCAATTCTAAATTTGATATCTGTTATCAGTCAAATAATACTCAGTTTTGTGACTGTATCTTTTCCCTGGAAGTCAGAGCTATTCCCACCTATAGAGTCAAAACCAGGGGACATAATTCTGAGTTACTTGTAAGCCTCAGAATCCTATTCATTTTGTCCTCTTCTGTTTAGAAACTCCTATTTCACATACCAATACACACACACACACATACATATATATATATGTGTGTCTCACATATATCACATATTTGTTAACTGCAGATCTACAGGGCACTGAGCAATCTGGTTTGTAACATGCAAAAAAAAAAATCAGTGACTTAAGTAAAACCTCTCATTTCTCTATAATTACAATTATCTTAACCTTCATTAGGAAAAAAAAAAGGCAAGAAAATGCCCCAAGATATTTCTCACCAAGCTAAAACACACATCATTGTTTCTACTTTTTTGGATCCTAACGACCTGTCAAACACGCTATGAGAAAATTCTTCACTGAAATGATTTTTTTGCTTCAAATTAGTTTTCTTCCATTGATCTCAAACACAAATATTACACGTTGCCCTCATCGCTTCATTTGTAAAGAACACCAACATAATTGTTGGCTTCAACTGTCATAGAAAGATTATATAGACACAGCAAGTAGGAAATGAAAGGAATTATTTGCCTTTTGGAATGGTGCCCTAACATCCACTTCTGTGAACTTTCCTGCAAAAATATCCTGTACCTACTGTACAGCAAAGTACTGACCAGGTGTCCAGAAAGAGATAGACATTGAGTTCAGAAAATACAAAAGCTGCACATTTACCTAAGAAATCTAATTCTGTATTTATTTAAAGCAGTTACCACTTAGAAACCTGCTTAGTTAGTCTTATTTTGAATAATTTCAAATTACCTTTTCTCATTTCCCTACCTGGTTCCCAAAACTGCAGTAACTGAATATTCTATTTATGAAGATTTAATTTTATTTTGGCTCATTAGCGGTAGCATTTTCTGAATCAAATTCTCATCCATACAAATAAACTGTTGATTTATTCAATTTAAAAAAAGAAACACAACCAAACAGTACTGCTTTGTTTTCACCTTAAACTTCTGCTTTACCATATATCCAATATATTTTAAACACTGCAGTGCTCTTAAGATTTACAAATAGACCTAATGTTTGTCAAGGCTAAATGCATTACTGTAATCCTACTTAGGATATTGCCTGAATGTACAAAACATTGTCATATTTCCATGAAATATTTAAATGGATACATTTTTCTTGAGTAAAACCCAATCTTTTCCCTGAAAAATATACTATTTTGGTCCCATACTACCTGTATTTATCCAAAAATACCTGCAGAAGTAGCTAATCCATTTAAGTAATTACCTCTAGAGAAGGAAATTTTAAATAAATATCCAAGAGCCACAAAATTCCTTCTTCATTCTAAAAAATGTGCCTTCGTGTCTGGCAGTAAAACAAAATGTACTACCTGAATTCCTGAAAACCATGTGTGTATATACATTCATAAAGGACAAATCAAAAGCCTCAAAGTGATGCTACTCATTCTAAAGGAAAATAGCTAAAAATACAGGTTATGTGGGGAAATTATAAAAAACGGGCATTCCAACAGGAATAAATTAGGGATGTGGGGATTTGATTCTACATTTCACTCTGCAATTTGGGCATGTCAGCTGATTCAACTCTTGAATCTCTCCAAATATTATTTACTGAGATGAAGACTGTGTAAGTACTGAAACATGACTTATTTAAGAAAGAGCTTGGTTTATTTTTTAACTGAAGAAAGTGCTTTTTCTTCACTCTTTTGGCCCCATCCACAAAACAAAAGTGGCCAGTATATTCCCACAGTTCAAGATTAATGGAATGCTACAATACATGCACACAAATATATGTCAGAGGTGGAAAGTAGAACACAGTTTACATATTAATATATTTAGAATGATACTACTTCCAAGATCAGTGTAACTTTTTCTATTAGTGCCTGGAGTTAAATTATAAACTTTATCAAGCAAATCCTTACCAGCTTCATTTTTTTCTCTTAGAGACAAAACTTTGGAAATGAAGTATACTGCCATATTAATTTTGTTGTCTCCACTTTTCCCTCATTTAGCTGCAGCCACCCCATTGAGATCCTTCGTGTCATCTGATTAATGTTCAGGGAGGGAGTCACTGGGTTTGTTACCTTTATTTTTCCAGGTATTCCTTGGTGTACAGAAAAAACAGTCAACAGTTGTTTGAACCACTCACTTGTCCTTCCTGTAAAGTCATGCCCACAAAGAACCCCCTTTATGACATAAAGCCTACACAGTTTAGGGGTGAAAAGGAAATGGAAATCAAAATGAAAAACTATTTAGGAGGGAAAGAGCCAAGTACTGGAACAAACTCACTACACATTTTTGGATTTTCTTTTCCCTTTTGTCTTATTTGATCAACATGGTGAAATCTGAACATTTTTTCAGAGTTGACAAATCTGAAGTTTCCACTAAAACATGTTGAAGTCAACATTTTATTGTCATTCTTGACCAAGCTACAAGACTGTTAACCTCTGGCAGTAGCTAAGTTTTAATCCACCCCATCCCCGCTACATTAGGCAATGTATCTTGAACTTTTACCAGAAGCTACTCATTTTAGGGACAAAGGGTTGAGGGGCAAAACTGAGATCTACCTCAGAACAGCAACACAGTGTAGGAAAGCTCTGAGCAAGAAATTTTTTTGCTTTTCTACCAAAGAACCAGAAGAAAGGCCGTCCCACCAAGTCAAAATAATTCTAGTATTGCTATTTATTATGAAATCCAACAGCAAAGGATGCTGGACACTGGACAGCCCTACAGGAACAGAGAGTCTCTGCCTCAAACAGTTTAGAGTCTCCAGAAACTCAACAAAGGACATGGGAGAAAAACAACCCAGCAACGCAGAGGAATCATCGGTGCAGCGGCAGCACAGGGTGTTCCTTCCATTTTCTTTTAGGGAGAAGGAAAAAAAAAGAAAAATAAGCAAGATTAGCATCACAAAAGGCAAAAGCAGCAAGAAGATGGGATATGATAGAGCCGGTGAGAGCGGGAGAAAGGTGGTAAGAAATGAAGTGGCGTGCAGGGCGTGTGACACGGCACGGCGAGCGAAGCGACGCGATCGGGAGCCAGCAGGAAAAGGGAGCTCGTGCAAAACACCCAGTTAGGAAAAGCAGGGGGGAAAAAAACCCAATCAAAAATATCAGTCACCATCAACCTCCTTCGTATGCTACTTGTACAGCTGCTCTGCTGGCTTCAGCCTTTGGGCGAGTGACGAGCCCCTCACCTGCCATCAGGGAAGACAGACTGACTGCACGGCAGAGGAGCTGAACGGAAAAGGTTAAGAGGACATGCCACACGAAAAAATAGCTCTCAAAAAAGTGATGTACACTAAATAGAGTGATCTTGTTTTCAGCAGAAAAGTCTGAATTACAAATACGTAACAAGTGAGGGCTAATACTTGCAATTGAAATGTATTATACTCAATCTGAGTAAAGATGAGTCCCTACTACAGTAATATTAGTATGGCTCTCCATAGCCACACAGAATACAGCATATTTAAATGGTATTACGAACTCAATCTTACTCCCATGGTAAATAAAAGCATCTTAAATTGTGACCGAAAAGAAAACATCAAGCATTTTGTATTTGGGTTGGTGTTACGAATCCCAAATCAGTTATGACTGCAAGTTACTACCGATATACCACGCTGGTTAATTGTTAATCCTCATACAATTTCCACTGTCATATCAAATCCCACCAGAAGTGTCACACTTGTTGACATGTCAACAATGAGGTCAAGCAGCCCCAAAGAACGAGCTGCTTCACCCTCCAGGGGTGGTCACTGCAGAAGCAGGGGAATAACCAGTCCCATAACAGCTCGGCCCCTTTTTGCAATAGATCTTGGACTGTCATCTGCAGCCTTGCCCACGCATCACACTCTCAATGCTGTTTTATTTGGAATAACATTGACTAAACCAATGCTTTTCCAAGAAGAAGTCAAAGGGTACCAATCCAGTGACCTTAAAGGACTCTCTCACATTACTAACTTTGCTTGTATTTCAAAACATAACCTAGAATACCCAAGATTTTAAA